ATGGGGTGCATCTTCTGCATCTTCCCCCTCAATCGGGGTCTCATCACACAAAGTGATATGGAACGACGATGCCACCTCTCCCTGAGTGGTTGGTGGTACGTCATCACTTGAGCCTACGCTTTCCTCATTTTCCTCTTTATGTACTCGAGTGTGTACAATGGTCTTCGGTTGGACTTTCAATACTTCACCGCATGTAACATGAATATATGTTTCTCGTCTCATACGAGAAGGAATCATGCTTCTGAGCCTTTTTGGAGGTTCCACTTCAGCAGGAACATTGGCACTGTCTTTAATAACTTGAACGGCTCCAAGTCGATCATGCATTGACTTTCTCTTTAGGGCTTTAGGACTTGACCCCAGTCTATCAAAGACTGAGCGTCGAGAGTCCGCCTTACCGATTCGGTCGAAGACTGACTTCTTTTTGTCTTGCCCATTATCATTGGTAGGAGTGAGGTTTGGGTCATACTCGCTTCCCTCCGCGGAGATACAATTACTTGCAGCCCTGTTTATAAGAATTTGCACTGGTTTAGGGGGAACATAGCCCAACCCTTTGCGCGTTTGAGGTTCTTGGTGATTTGCTTTGCCTTTACCACCGACTTCTGGGATAAGCTTTCCCAACTTCTGTGGCTCGTTGGGGTTATAGCCAGCCTTGGCTAGAAGCTTATAAGCGTTAGGGTCGAAACCCTCGGTACGCTTGGCGGGTAATGTTTGGCTCACTTTATCACCACCTTTATCTTCGGATAATTTTGCTGCATTTGCTTTGAGTGTATCAATCCTTGCAAGCGGGAAGATGAGTTTCGTGTTATGCTGATCTCCCCCTACAACTTGTTTTCCCTTTGACTTTGATTGGGAAGGTGGATCGTCATGGCTTTCCTCAATATCTTCAACAATAACTTGCCTTTTAATGTAGAACTTTGCATCTGCAAAGTAAGACTCAGCCTCCGTGAAAGGGCTTTCATCGGCGACAACCTTTTCAACTACGCCGTTCTTTTCAAACATGAGGCATTGATGCCAAGAAGAGGGTACCACCCCATTTTCATGTATCCATGGCCTTCCAAGTAACAAGTTATAAGATGTCCTTGCATCTATGACATGGCAGAGGACACCTGAACTTAGGTTTCCAATTCTTAAGTCAAGTCTGATGATGCCGATTGCTCTTTGCCCTCCCTGGTTGAAGCCTTGTATCATTAGACGACTTTGGGCAAGCTCATCTGTAGATATACCAAGGTCCTTCACAGCTCGGAGGGATAGGATGTTGACAGCTGAGCCTTGATCAACCATAATTCTTTTGAGTTTTTGCCCACGGGTGTAGCCTTCAACAAATAATGGGCGATTGTGTGGCGTGCCTCCAAGTAACAAGTCTTCATCCTTGAAGGTAATTTCCGTGGAGTAGGAAGTAGCCTTATGCATTAATACTTCCTCATCCTCGGTGTGTTTAGGAGATGAACATTCACCTCCATCTTCTGGCTTGTCATTTGTATTTAGGCAGGAGCTAGCACGGTCTACCCCTTGAAGATTAAATCCTTTTGGCATATATTGAGCCAAAGGAACTGGTGCTCGTGGTTTCTTGACATGCCCCTTCGTCTTTAGTCTGCGGGCATTGCCACTTGTTGAGGTTTTCTCAACCCGACTTCTCGCTGTGTGCTTAGGATGTCTCCCAGGCTCAACTTTCTTCTTTCTATGAGTGACTATCACCCATTTTCCTTCAGATGTGCTATCATTTTGCTGTGGTTTTGAACTTTGACCAGCAGCATACTTAACAATGAAGGGGAGTGGACGCTTCCGTTGTTTTCCATCTTCCTTTTCAGTACACAGCGGAGCGAACCGTCCGGGCGTAATCGAGATTTGATTTGAGCTCGCTTTGGCATCGGCAAGCTCAATTTTCCCATCCCTGGCCAGTGCCATTACTTTATCTTTGAAGATAAAACACTTCTCAATCGGATGACCAAGAAGTCGGTGGTACTTGCAATAGTGTGGATCATCCACCCTTGAAGCTTCCTCAGGACGTTTCATTTCTGGCAGCTCAATGAGTCTAAGTTTGAGTAGCTCATCAAACATGGGAGATACATCGGAATCCATGAAAGGATAAATCTTCTCTTGCCTTTCTTCAATTGTCGGCCTTCTACCACCCCTTGACGGGCCAGAAAATGGTCTTGGCCTAGGCCTTTCAGTTGCTTTAGTGAAGACTGTCATAGGAGTAGCCTTCACATTCATCACTTCTTTCTTTTCCTGCTTTGGAAAAGGTTTGTTCCACTTTTTAACTTCTTGTTTTCCAGGTGCATTGGAGGAGCTAGGCAAGTTCAATATATTGAGCCCTCCGCTGGCTTCGATGCTCAATTCCATGTCGTGAGCACGACTGGATAACTCCTCAAAGGACTTTGGCTTAATCCCTTGTAGGATATAGGAGAGTTCAAAGTGCATTCCTTGGATGCACATCTCAATTGCAGAACTTTGAGATATTCTTTCTTTGCAATTCAGGCATAGTTCCCTCCACCTTTCGATGTAGGTACCGGCGCGTTCACCCTTCCATTGGCGAGTAGTGGTGAGTTCCAAGAAGCTGACCGTTCTCCTTGTGCTATAGAAACGAGTTAAGAACTCACGTTCCATATCATGCCAGCTATCAATGCAACCGGGCGCAAGGTCAGTGTACCAATCAAACGCAGTTCCCTTTAATGAACGGACAAACTGCTTTACCAACAGATCGCCATAAGTCCCTGCATCATTGCATGTCTCCACAAAGTGGGCAATGTGCTGTCGGGGATTTCCTTTGCCATCGAATTGCTGGAACTTAGGAGGTTGATAGCCGTAGGGCATTTTCAATTCCTCAATTCTTTGTGTGTAGGGCTTAGCATAGGAATATGAAGGTTGGCCTCCATCCAACTTGCCTTTGATGGCCCCCATTATGTAGTCCTTCAACTGATCCACCGGTATCATGCCTTCGGTAACTGGAATAGTTTTCTCAGTTGCAGGTAAGTGGGAAGCAGCTTCTCCTACCACATGGCTAACATGAGGTGGTGGTGATTGCTGACCAACCTCTTCTTGCCCTTCAGGTTGCTTTCCTGGAGCACGGCTTCCTTGCTCCTCCATGATGCTTCCTACCCTATTATCGAGGGTGTTAAGCCGTTTCTCTTGATTTTGGAGAGTGATAGCCATTCCTTCCAGAGACTTAGCAATTCTAGCTAATTGCTCCTCCACAGACTCTGTGTTTGTCGCCATGGCCGGTATGACGTTGTAGACATGCGACCACTCAGGTGCAGCCCTCCATAAGGGATGAGGCGGAGTTGCGGGGGAAGTGCTCCCGCTACTAGCGTTCCCTTGCATAGAAGTTGGACTACCACCATCGGTAGCTCCCTTGGGAGAGGGTGGACTTCCAGCAACAGCAATTGCCTTTGAGGCCGCAGGGGCCTTGTCGAGCCTTCGAACCACACGTCGTGCCATGGACTGAGGTTCAGGTACTCGGACCCCCAAATCCTTTGCACGGTTCCTTGTCAGCGGACCTTGCGTTTTCTGGGTTGTGCCAGGGCTAGCTACAGGCGTAGACTTGGACTTGGTAGCTTGGGCATAGGTCCTCCTGAACATGGGATTGTTCGATGCCATTTGATGCGCAGGTAGAGGTATAGTAGTAGTAGAGAGATGAGAGGCAGAGCTGTCCCACTGGGCGTGCCAAAATATGTAAACGCGAAAAACTTGAATTGTATATATTCAAAATTCAAAGTATCGGTTACAAGTAGTATCAAGTATATATCAAACGGGAAAGGGTACAATCTCTGGTATATGAGAAGTCCTCTGATTCTCTACTACAAGTATGCCTATTGGAAGTGTGCCAAATTTGGAATATGCCAAATTGGAAGTGTGCCGAGTTCAGAATATGCTGAACTGGAAGTAGTTCCTTGTTCCTTGTTGAGTTCAGAGTATGCTGAACTTGAAGTATGCCGAGTTCAAAGTATGTTGAACTGGACGTATGCCGAGTTCGGGAGTATGCCGGACTGGAAGTGTGCCGAGTTCGGGAGTATGCCGAACTAGAAGTAGTTCCTTGCTGAAGGGCCTCCGGAGTTATGTAGCTTGTTCTTCAATGAAGGGCTAATATGCAGCTTGATCTTCAAAGAAGGGCTTCCGGTGTTCCTCAGCGCAGTATACGCAGTATATATAGCTGCGGGCGTGTTCCAGATGATTTCCCGGCGAGATTTCGGCAGAGCTTCGTTATGCAGATTTCCAGCGCCCCTTCTTTGAAAATGAACCCACTATTTATAGTGGTGAGGGTGAGGAAAAATCTCCAACCAACTCTCAATTCCTTATTTAATTTAATTATTTTGATTAAATTAAGGAACGTATCGGGACACCATTGCGTCCAGGTTCATCATTTCATTAAATTTCAAATAATATCAAATATTCAAATTTCTCAAAATTATATAATCCACATATAATTTCAGTGGGCCAAGACCAAGTCAAGCCCGCTAATTAGGCAACCCAATTCATCCAAGCAGCCTGGTCCAACTCGATTAAATATTTCATCATCTCGGGCCGAATAATCCAACATCCAATTACATTTAATTAAGTAATTAAACTAATTAATTATTTAATGGGCCATTTAATTAACCCGATTAAATAAATACCAGTCTAATTAGCTTAATTAAAGTAATTAATTTAATAATCGATTATCCACCACGGTTCGACAATATTATTTATCTTTTTTAATGCTTACAAAGCCATTCTGATCGATTTTGCTGGAAGGTGTATGCATGAGGAAGGACTCGAGCCTAAGGATTACCTGTACGGGGCTTGGCTGAGGCAGGGCGGGTGTTCGGAGACAAACAAAACCGGTGGGTGCCAAATGGCAACTCACTGATCTTCCGGCGAACGCTTATTGTGTGCCGTCTACCCCTGCAATACCTGTTCCCAATCCAGTCCAGTTGGAGGAAACTGCCATTGTGCATAGCGATCTTAAATATCGAAGAGAAGGTGATCAGGCCGAGGGACAGGTTGTGACAATCGACGTGAAAATGATGGATGCTTCAAAAAACTTGGTTTTGGCGGGCCCATCGAGTACCTTGAGTTGGAACTACCGGGGATTCGGTGGCCCTCGGACAGTTCGAGAACTAATTGGCTTCGTGTTCATGAAGCGACCTAACTTCGTCTTACTTATGGAGACGAAGGCTCGTTCGATGCAGTTAGAGCGGATTGGAGTCCGTTTGGGGTTCGAAGGTATGTTCAGTGTGGATAGAGTTAGCATAGGATGCGGGCTGGCTCTTCTATGGAGAGACTCTAACATGGCTACTATACTTGGTTACTCGGAAAATCACATAGATGTGTTTGTATCTTTGGCGGGGGAACCACCATGACGCCTTACTTGTTTCTACGATTTCCGGAAAGATCTAGAAGGCAGCAATCTTGGGCGTTGTTATCGGACCTAAAGACTCGATCCAATCTCCCCTAGATTGTGGTCGATGATTTTAACGATATTGCTAGTCACAACGAGAAAAGGGGTCATATCCCTCATCTTAACGGTCTCATTACGGGATTCAACGATAGTATTCAAGAATGTGAGTTATTCGATATGGGGATGTTGGGACATAAGTTTACATGGGAGAGGAGGATGGGTACTAATCACGGCAAATTATTGCATGGACCATGGTCCACACAAATTGTGTGGACCATGGTCCAAAATAATATAGTTTTGCCTTAATATTACAAAAATTCGCTCATTACTGGTTAACGGCGTTAGATCAGCCGTTTCTTCTTTCTTTGTTTCTTCTTTCCTTCCGCGTTTCTTCTTTCCTTTAGCTCTCACCAGTAGCGATTTCTCTCTGCGATTTTCATTGTTTCTCTCTGCGATTTCATTCGGACTACGCAATTTGTTTCTTCATTCAATTTTCGGATTGTGTTTTCGGAATACTCATCTTGGATCATGGATAGTATTGATGATACGGAAAACAGAGTAGATGCGATTGAGTTGGGGGATGATATTACAGGTTTTCACACTATTTTTATGCAATTTATGATTCGTTTTTTATTTTTCTTTTTATGCAATTTATGATTGTGTATATTTTTTTTATGTATCGTAGGTGATTTGAATGCTATGGTTAATGTTGATTCAACTTATCCAATTGGTGTTGATTTTAGGCATATAAATCCAGGTTTGTGATTCATGTATTGCAGTGAATGTGGTGTGATTAGGGTTTGTTTAGTTGTTTGCATACTGTACATTATATGTGTTCATATTGTACATTATTTTAATGCATAATGTACATTATTTTAATACATAATTTTCATTATATTTCAGTTGATGTCACTTTTGGGGATGCAGTTGATGAGAGCTTACCTAATGTAGTCAATGCAAGTTCTTCAAATGCTATTGATGAGAGTTCATCTATTCCAGGTTTTGTTATTAATTAGTATTATTAGTATTATTGTAATTATTTTAATGACTGGTAGTTTTGTACGAAAATGATCATGTTGTAATGATTTGCTGTTTATTTGTTATTTTTCTTTGTGTTTATCTTATGTTACAATGAATTATTTTTGCCCCTAGGTATGCATCTCAAAATAGTTCAAATGATAATTGGTTGCCATAATTTGCTGCAAATGTACATTATATTTGTCCTTAGTGTACATTATGTTTGCCCCTAGTGTACATTATTTTATATTGTTGTTGTTTGTGTGCATCAGAATGAAAGTTCCTTTCAATCTGAAAATATACATTATTTTTGTCCTTAATGTACATTATTTTCCAATCTAGTGTACATTATTTTACTGTGTTGGTATTTAAGTGCATCAGAATGTAATTTTCATTCAATCTGAAAATGTAGTTTATTTTTGTCCTTAGTGTACATTATTTTTGTAATTTTCAGTTAATCAGGAGCTATTGGGGCTTTCAGTTCATTCAATTGAAGAAGCGTTTACTCTATATAATGATTATGCATTTAGGATGGGATTTAGTGTTAGAAAGGGGAAGCAATATTACTTTGCTGGTAGTCAGAATGTGAAGATTAAAAAGTTTCATTGTTCAAAGTTTGGTTTCAAATGCAAATCGGATAATTCTGTTAGGTCTTACACAAGGGTAGACACACGTACGGGATGTCTTGCTTTTTGCCAATTTGATGTGGACCCTAATGGGAATTGGGTTGTGACAAAACATGTGAAGGAACACAATCATGAGCCGTGTCCATCTTCTAAAAGCTATATGCTAAGGTCACACCGAACCATTGGTATTGACCAATTATCCTATCTAAAAGACTTGAAAAGAAGTGGGGTTGCAGTGGCGGATGACATCCGATTTTTGAAAAGACAATCTGGAGGGTCACCCTTTGTTGGATTTACACAAAGAGATGCATATAATAACTTGCTTACAGATTCAATAAAAAGTTTAGATGGGACTGATTCAAATTCATTAATCGACATATTTAGGCAGAGGCAAATCAATGAACCTGACTTTTTCTATGATTTTGAAGTGGATGGTGATGCAAGATTGTGTAATTTTTTTTGGAGGGATGCAAGAATGAAAGAGGATTACGCGTTGTTTGGTGATTTGGTAGTACATGACACAACTTATCGTACTAATAAGTACGATATGATTTGTGGTCCCTTTGTTGGCATGAATCATCATTGTATGAATATCATGTTTGGGTGTGGGTTTTTGTTGAATGAAAGGATTGAATCATTTGTTTGGCTTTTTAAGACATTTTTGCGAGCCATGGGTGGTAAGTTCCCACAAACGATCATGACGGATCAATGTGCTGCTATGTCTGCTGCAATTTCTCAAGTTTTTCCAAACACAAGGCACAGGTTGTGTATTTGGCATATTGGGGAAAATTCAAAAAAAAAACATCAAAGGATTACGAAATCAAAACGGTTTTGTAGAGTTATTCAACTTTCTGTTGAAGTACACTGATACGGATGCTGAGTTTGAGTTTTATTGGACTAGGTATGTTTTATATTACATTTAACATTCTTCTCTACGTGTTTATAAAATCAAGTTACACAATTTTATGTTTTGTTAAGTATGGATTACATAGTAGTCATAAAATAATCATTTTTAGATATGTTTTAGAATTCCATGTTTGATGTGTTTGGAGTGATGCACTTTATTCTTTAATATTATGATCTTTATGTTTAAAATTGGTTGTTGAGTTGAACACTGAGTTTGAATACAACCATCATTCAGTTCCTTGGCATAAGTTTCTGTTAATGTACATTATATTTTTCCTTAGTGTACATTATTTTTACCCATAGTATACATTTTGTTACAGTTTTGGGTTTTGACTTCATCAGAATGAGAATTTTATTCAATCTGCAAATGTACATTTTATTTGTCCCTAGTGTACTTTATATTTGCCCCTAGTATACATTATTTTACACTGTTGGTTTTTAACTTCATCAGAATGAAAATTTCAGGATGGTGAGTGAATACAAGTGTCATGGAAATAGTCGGTTAGAAAAACTATATGATATTAGGGAGAAATGGTGTCCTGCATTTAACAAAGATTACTTTTCTGGAGGTATTCTATCTTCTCAAAGGAGTGAGACTACAAATCACTCAGTTTCAAGAAGGTTATCCAAGACAGCTGGCTTGTGTGATTTCTACAATTCTTTTGCTAATGTAGTTCATGAATGGAGGAGTAAAGAGAGTGGGGAGGATTTGCGTTGTTCTCAAGGGGTGCCTACAATGGCTATGGATCATGTGAAACTTCTTTCACATGCTAGAGGTGTATACACTATTGAAGTTTATTATTTGTTTGAGGAACAATTTTTGAAAGGTGGTGCATGTCATCAAGAGATAGTGGTCAGCTATGGTGATGAGTTGAAATATCATGTATGGCGTCCGGATATTGACATTATTCGGCATGAGGTTTGTTTTAACCCCAAGGATATGAAGATTTGTTGTAGTTGTAAGTTTTTTTCTGAGATGGGGATCTTATGCTCACATTGTCTACGTATTCTCAACATTAACTGTGTTGGAACAATACCTGACCAATATATATGTCAAAGGTGGACAAAAAGAGTTGTTGAAGATAGGATCATGGACATTTCATCTGGTCCAAATATGTCTACTGTTGCATCTTCCGTTTGGGTTATACAAATGGGTAGGAAGTTCCAAAGATTAGTCATTTCAAGTCAAGATAACTACGAAGCTCGTGAAGTTTGTGAGACAGGTTTTGATGATTTTAGAAGAAGGATTGAAGCTAAAGTTGGTCCCATTATTGTAGATGACTTTGAAACACCCTTACCAAGTGGTGTAATACAGAATCCTGTACGTAGAGGTGTGAAAGGAGAGCGTAACCGAAGGTTGGTTAGTACAATGCAAAAGAAGCATAATCAAGCTAGAGCTCGAAGGAATTATAGCAAGGCGGTTGAAGAAAACACGAAAGCTGCAGCCCAATCATCGGTTCAACAGGTTGTTTCGGAGATTGTTGGGAGTGGATATCTTGTTCATTCAAGTGGTAGTAGTAGTTCAAAGTTAGTTTGTGTTAGGTCTGGATCACAGAATATTTCAAATGATAATTGATTGTAGTTGTAATAGAATTTTACAGGATATAGACTTTGATTTAGAATTATGATCTTTATGTTTAAAATTGGTTGTTGAGTTGATTATTGATTTTGAATTTAATCAGTTGGTGCAATTCAGTGGTAACTTAATGGCCAGTTTGAATTTAACTAGTTGACTTCATCAGAATGAAAATTTCATTCAATCTGCAAATGTACATTATTTTAGTCCCTAGTGTACATTATTTTTGCCCATAGCGTACATTATTTTACACTTTCGGTTTTTGACTTCATCAGAATGAAAATTTCATTTAATCTGTAAATGTACATTTTTTTTTTTGTCACTAGTGTACATTATTTTTGCCCATAGTGTACATTATTTTACACTTTCGGTTTTTGACTTCATCAGAATGAAAATTTCATTTAATCTGTAAATGTACATTTTTTTTGTCACTAGTGTACATTATTTTTGCCCATAGTGTACATTATTTTACACTTTCAGTTTTTGACTTCATCAGAATGAAAATCTCATTCAATCTGCAAATGTACATTTTTTTTTTCAGTAGTGTACATTATTTTTGCCCATAGTGTACATTATTTTACACTTTCAGTTTTTGACTTCATCAGAATGAAAATTTCATTTAATCTGTAAATGTACATTTTTTTTGTCACTAGTGTACATTATTTTTGCCCATAGTGTACGTAATTTTACACTTTCAGTTTTTGACTTCATCAGAATGAAAATTTCATTCAATCTGCAAATGTACATTTTTTTTTATGTACATAAAAGCTAAGTAATGCATTAGGTTTTTGTAACCTATTAAAAACTTTGCATAATACTAGGAAATCAAATGCTATTAAAATTTTGATACTCAAAATAGGGGTCATCACAAAAATATCTTTCCTAATTAGTTTTTGAAGCATAGTAACATACTAAAATTTACATGAGTTTTGTGACTGCATAATGCACTTGTCAACCAAAAAAATTTACATGAGTTTTGTGACTGCATAATGCACTTGTCAACCAAAAATTAACTTTCCCCTAACTATATCAACCTACTTCAAATCTGATGAACATATAAAGTCATTTTGCAACATATATTTTGCCTGCTTTTTTCAGCAATTCCTCTTTTTTCTCATTGATTTCCATCACTAATATGCATGCTGCATACTTTGCTCTCAATGATTTTAGGATATTGGCCTGCACATGTATTCACAAATAATTGGGAGTTAATATATATATATATATATATATATATATATATATATATATATATATATATATATATATATGTCAATTCTTTATAAGGAAAATATGATAAAAACAATTATACCTACATCTTGTTTTGTTCTGGTAAAACCTGTAGTCCAGTTTGGACCAACACCTTTGAAGGTTTCAAGGTGCCTCATACAATAGACTCCACAATCTATCACATTGTCAGAATTTCTCCAATGCATTTTCACAATCTCATGCTGGAATGCATTTTCCTTTGCCATTTTGCTAAGCAATGTTGTGATTTTTCTTTCTTTTAAGTAGCCTTTGAAGGCATTTATCTGCACAGTAGTTAGTTTTCATAAATTACAATCATTAAAGAACTAATATATATATATATATATATATATATATATATATATATATATATATATATATATATATATATATATATATGGCTTCAGCCCTAAAGCATGAAAGAACTGCAACTTACCAGCAATTTATCACAATTTTCATATTTTTTTCAAAGGTGTTAGTCTTTCCAAGGGTCCTGTTATCTATCACTTGAAGAAGTAGCTTCTTAAAATTGAGACATAAAATGAAGTAGTGGTCATGGCGAAGAACAGCAAAGAACACCTAATTTAGAATAGAGTTAACAAAACATTTAGGAAAGTAGAGAATAACCAATCACCAAAATGCCAAAATATTCAAATAAACTCATACCAAATCTGCGTCAGATATGTCCAAGTTGGAAACCATTCTAAGCTCGTGGTCTATTGCATCTTTAAATTGCTTTTGTTTGGTCATATCTGGCACCCCAAGTCTATAAGGAGCAGCTGGATCAACTTGCATCTAGGAGAAAACAATATAAACAAAGATTAAAGAATGTATATTATATAGGAAAATAATTTCATGTAGGAGAAAACATAATGTACACTACTACTTACGAAGACATTTGTGGTGAAGTAGACGCATTTCGGTTCACTCATGCCACGGGTGAGATTTGTCATGTTCATCCTTATGCACCATACATCAACTATGCTCTTCTCCACCTTACCATCCCGCAAAGTTAGGAATTGGTCCCGTGCAATATAATTCCCGTCATATTTAAAGAGAAGTTCTCTGCAACAAATATACCCGTTAATACATATTAAAGATGAAAATTAGTATGTAATAGTTTCAAAGTTAGTTAGTAGCATACTCTTTTCTGTGCTCCTCACAAGGCTCAATGAAAGCATAGTCAGATAAAAGTTTTTCTTTCTGAGTCACATCTAAAAGCTCTTTATTATACTTTGTCCAATACGGAGACCTATATTTTAATGGAAGATTTTTAAACTTTCTATGCTCTCTTTTTCTGACTCGGACATCTTCAAGATCTGACTCAGATTCTTCAATGATACTGTAAAAAAAATAGATTAATGACACACAAATATATGTATATATTCATGTGTATACAGTGAAACGATAGCAAAGTTAAATAATGTACATTATAGACAAAAATAATGTACTGTAGGGATAAAAATAATGTACAATTTCAGTATAACTTACTTATCCAGCAATGTTTTCTCTTCAGCAGGTGGGGTAGGTGTTAGAAGATCAAATCTTGGTAGGGAGAATGCGCAAGAACTTGATGTTTCTTTGAATGCATCCTCAAGTGCTGCTATTGCAGCCATGAAGTTCTCATCTTCAAATATTGGATCGTCATCCAACAGCCTTGGATCATTTTCAGTAGGTTGTGAAGCTGACACAGTGGTTAGTAGATCAGATATCTTGGTAAATGTCCTCTTCACAACTTCCTTGCCTATTTGCTTGCTACCCACATCAGCCATCACCCCTCCAAATTCGACTACCGCAGCAGCAAATTTCATCATGCCCTTGGAGATCTTCTTAACATCACTTATTTCACAGTCTTTATCATGAACACCTCCACTTGTTTCTACGTTGTCAGTGTCTATAATAACCTCTTTAGCATCATGAATCCTCTTTGTAAGGCTGTCTAGGACCTTTCCTCTGCCAAATCCTCCTGATTGTTTTTCACTCATAATCCTCTTTTGAACCATTTCGAATGTCCAATTAGAAATGACTGGGTAGTTCCTCTTAAATTGCTGCCCCTTGAACTGCAGCCTATCAAGATATGAATACTAAAAAAAAAATGTTAGGAAGAAAGCAAAAAATAGATTAAGAGATTAAATAATATTTAGAATTAGTTGATATCAAATTAGATGTATTACCACTAAGAAAACAAGTGGCCCAGTGAAAATTGTACTTGTTTTTGCTTTCTTCCATCTATCAACTGTGTCAACCAAACACTTCATGATGTAGGCACACCAGTTTAAGTCTTTGATTTTCTTAACATCCAAGAGTGAGAAAAGGATTTTGAAATTTGTAAGTCTGTTTGTATGGCCGTGGATGAGAGTAGAAACCACAAAGACAACAAAATCTATCTTGAACATGTCTCCATGTTCTTTCATTTTGGTGATTCCCGTTGAAAGATCCTTAATCAAAGGACCGCATGTCTCGATCTTCCATCTTCTCCTCCACTGCTCCAATACACTGTTGTATTCCTTGGTTGAATTTGAATTGTTTCCTTCAAAAATTTCTATATCTCCTTTTGGGAGACCTAATGTGTTGTGAACATCATCTTCAGTCAGTTGCATCTTCTCATCTTGCAACATTAATGTACAGCTATATATATCAAAATTCTTCACCAGATATGCACATAATTCTGTATCCCAGCAGGACAATTTCAACTGTAGTAGTGATCCAAATCCAATATCTTCTACCGCTTTTCTTTGCTCATCTGTTAGTTTCTCCACCAACCGCAGGAATTCGATAGGTGACATTCTAGTTTTAAGCTTGTTTTTATTGATATGCTGCTGTTGCTCTACATTCTCAGATTGACTCATTTGTTTTCGTTTTCCTTTGGTTTTTCCTTGTGATGTTCCTTCATTATCTACTGCTCTAGCTCTTTTCCTTTGATATTTTCTTTTCGTTTCAGCAGTATCTTTGTTTGAAGTCATCTTTTGCTGTGGCTAACAAGATAGAATACACTGCATAAATGAAGTAAGTTTAAAACTTTGACAGTGGCATTAAAATGTTTCTGCTAAGAACATTGTAAAAAGTTATTAAACTACATACTTTCTTTATGCACTGTTTGAAATAATGTTATTAAACTTTGGTTTACTGCACATATTCATATATAGCCTAAATCTCTTCATATTCCTAGCATCCCTTCCTTGACATATTATATTACAATATTACTATGAAAATGGCTACTACTACATATTTTTTGTTTTTTTTTGCTGGTTCTTTAAGTGTCTTGGCCTACTAATAAATATTCAGATAGCAACTCGTACATAGAACTAAATATGGAATTCTATAGCACTTATTGTCCTCCATCACACATGACACTGTGACACATTCAAGCCCAAAAAACATTGACAATAAGATGGGAAATTAAATTGTTGAGACAAGGAGCAGCAACAGAACTAGAAGGACCGAAAGTGTACGAGGAAAAACAGGAAATATACATTTACAAATAATCAATCACCCAAAACTTTCAGTTTGTTTCAGCCTACATTTAAAGACAAAAGATTGAAGTCTTTCAAGATTACCTGCAACAGATATCAGGCAAGTCAAGTTGTTCTATCGAATGAAATTTGTCCCTTTTACCAGAATATAATGATCATTAAATAAGAATGACCAAACTTCAGTTGTGAAATATTGGCATTATATCCCTGGGCAATTTTTGTCTATAGTTATGTGCATATTTGGGTTTACTACTATTATGAGTGCAAACATGAATAACA